AAAAGAAAGAGTATCCAAAGTAGAAATAAGTAGAAATACAAACCGAATAAATGTGGATAGATTTCGATTTTCGAGGGAATCAGTAGACATTGTTTCATCTTCTGAAAAGGAAATATTATCCTAAAAGTTAACATATGATGGAAAAATAATGGTACAAGTGTCAATTCCTGTTTCTCTTCAATAAAAGAATGTTGAACGCAAACTTGTTTTCATCAATAGATAGAGTCATTTCCCCACTTTCAAAATATACATAACTTATTTTTATAATATGTTCATAAACGAAAAACTCAATAGAAAAGAAAAGACCCATTAAAAAGAATCTGTACTTTTTCATAAAAGGATCAAATAAAATATCGATCCTTATATTCCATCGATAAAAGGCTTTTGACAAAGATATTTTTTAACAGTTAGTAGGAAATTTTCTGCTTTTCCGAAAGATATATGATTCATATTTGTCATATATTGTCAAATAAATCAAGACAAGAAAAGGAAGAAGTAGATGTATAATACATTTGTAAGTTTTATACGAACTCGTCAAAAAAATCTTGTCAATGATAGTTAATTATAATAAACTGTCGTTTCCGAAAGTGATGTTACCAATTTCATAAAGACCAAAGTAAGCACCATTTTACAAGATCCTTTTAATAGGCTCACAAAAATTGAATGAATCATTGTCTAACAAGGTGCGTGTGACCGTTTCATGTAAAAACTACAAATTCATTGTGTTAGCGTTTTCTCTCTTTTTTTCTTCTGTCATTTCTTTCATGAATGTATGACAAATGCATATCATATACTGTTCGAAAGAGGAAAAAATTTCCTATTAATTGATAAAAAAATATGCTTTTGAGGGCCTATTTATCAAACAGATAAATGATGTCTAATAAGTTTTTATCTTCCTCTAGTAGTATTCTTTTGGTACATGTAGTTTTGGTAGAATAGACTAATATTCACAGCATATACACTAGACATCTAGATTTACTCTATGCTACAATTTTAGCTTTCTGCCTTTGATAATCACAGAGTTACAAGTAACTTAGAATTCGTACTAACACTTTGAAATAATTAATAAGTGGAGCATAATAAATGGCCGCGTTGGATTTTATTTTCTCATCGTCTGACATGTTTTGTCGAAAAACAATATATACGAAAAAGATGCAGCGTCAAAGGCTCTACCATCTACCTAGTGAAGCTAATTCTCATATATGTGCTTGTTGTTCTCAAAACGAGTCTAATTCTGTGCGATCAATTTTCGACGTTGCGAGTGATCTCACATTTTCTTTGAAAATAAAAGATATAGAATTAAAATAAGCTTTGCCTTACAGATTGTAGAGCTTTTCACACAGTATGTTTCGGTGTCTTTTGTTTTTTAATATAGCATATTAGATGATGAGAAAATGATATACAAAATGCGTTTATTTATTCTGGCTAATCCATTATTTCAAAAACTTCGATAAATTTTAAGTTACTTGTATATCTGTGACCGTAAGAGGGGGAAAGGTGAAATTCCAGCATAGAATAGATCCAGATGCCTACTATATAAGCCATGAATATTAGTCTGTTCCACCAAAAAATTATATAACAAAGAAATATTACTTGAGGAAAATCAAAGCTTACTAAACACTCTTCATAGGAATTAATATTTGTGGGCCATTTTTCTGGATTTCACAAAAAGTGCGAATCCTTTTTAAGAGTGTTTTTGTCTTTTCTACTGTGCCATAGCGTTTATGGACATATTATAAAAATATGTAAAATATATTCTGAAAGAAGAGAAATGATTGTAACTTTTGGTAAAAAAAAATTTCGTTCAGCGTCCTTTTATTGAAGAAAAGTAGGGATCGTCATTTGTGTGATTAATTTTGAATCGTGCGTTACTATAAATCGTTTTAGAATAATTGCTTTTCAGGCTTCGATACGAAACATTTACAAGATGTGCCAAAAAGTTTCTATTCAAAAATACTTCTTCGGACAGCTTCTCTATTGATTGGACTTTATCAGCTGGTTTTCCTGCGTATGATAAATGACATTATCAAGGTTTTATTTCTATAGACAATCGTTGTAAATCTCCTTTAAAGTAATTACCATTAGCCGAGTTGATGAAATTCAATTCTTTTTTTATTGCACAATAATATTTCGTAGGCATTCTTTGTTAGTTGTTTTGATTTTTGACTTCATACTATTCGATTTCTTTTAACGAGCAAACATCAAAACTAAGCCCTAAGAAACGACTGTTTGAGATGGGAACATTTCAAAGTTCAAAATTAATCGAGAAATTTAAGTAACTAGAAAACAAACGTTGCGAAATATTATACTGGCACCAAAAAAATGTTGAATTTTTCCGTTGTGACTTCAGATATTTACTTTGAAGAGCACTTTACAAGTTTGTCTATAGAAATGAAAGCTTGACTTGGTCACCTATTATACGAGAATGGTCAGTTGATAAAAGCCAATCAATAACGAAGTTATTCGGAAAATCTATTTCTATGTACGAATTTGTAGAAGATATTGTACATTTGCCAATTCATCCTTTGAACGAAATATTTGTCTAGTATTGCTAGGGTTTTGATGAAAAAAAACAGAAAATCGTTGAAAATGTTTAATCCAGTTCCGAAAACATGTTCAGATGTTGAAAGTTTCAATTTCTCTGAACATTTAAGTATCCAAAGCGCGTTAAAAAATATTTGTCTTAAATTGTTTTAACGCGTTTTTGGCAACTAGTCAAATACTTTAAATAGTTTACAACGTAACATGTTAAAATGTTGTTTTGGTAGTTAATGTGTCTGTCTGGGTTGTCGCATATAAAAATATTCAAATACTTATTCAGAAATGTAATCCTTATGAAGCATCCAAGTCGAATAAAAGATGATCATGCTCTGTTTTACTTGAAATAGCCCGAATACTCTATGTATTCGTACTGAGTATCAAAAAGGCAGTTGAAAAGAACTTGTGGAACTTACATATATTTTCGAAGAAAATAGTGAGTGTAAGTATCAAGTCGAAGTTTTCCAGCTTCTACTCTCCCTGCTCTTTATCCCGCACTCTATTATAGATCATAACAACTAGGATTAAATACTGGATATATATCACAGTCCTATTTGTCATTTGATTCGATGCTTATAATAATGAAAATGTTACATTAACGAATCGAAAAATATTCAGCGAATAGCAACAATGAAAACAAAAAACAAGGGTGCTCATCAGAAAAAACAATGAAAAAATTCATGATTTTGTGTAAATTGTATTTTGTATTAGTTTAATCAAGCTGAAGAACATATTCGAGCCTTATGTTTTAGTTCCAAAGGCGTTGCGCTAACAAGTTTTTTTTTAAGTAATTATTTGTTCACCTTCAAAAACCGAATACAAACTGGATAGGTTAGTTGTATTTATGATATAAGAAAAAGTCATGTTATTTTAAATAATAAAAAATAATGTTAAACCGATGCCTTTGCTAATTTTATGTCCTTCTTTTCGAATTCTTAATGAACTGATTTTCTTTCATCTAATTTATTGACGAGCTCTTCTGCTACTTCTTTTTTTCTCTTATAAGATTCTCATAGTTATATTCTAACCTTTATGAACTATATGTCAGAATGACACGACAATGCTTTATACATTTTCTTTCTTTGTTTCATTAATCCTTCTAGTTGTTTAGCAATAGATTCAAAAGAATATGAACATGGATACTTTCGATGTTATAGAATAAGTGTTGGGTATTTGTATTTGTGTATAATGTCGTTCATTCTTGATCGAGCATTTCATACTTTCATGACAGTATATAAATTAATGATAATTATTATGTTTTGATTTTAAGAATTTATTTCTATTTGGTCGATTTGGAACAATGGTAAGCCTCCATGAAGCTAAATCTCTATTTAAACAAGTTAATACAAATCGAGATGGAAGGTATGAATTAAGTATTTGAATCAAATCATAAATGCATACATATATGTTTAGTATTGAACTACTTGCAAATTGTGGCCAAAATTTTCGCCCTCGTCTACATTGTTGGGTTTTTAGTTTGCTTGATCTTTGGCCGCGATTAGGAAACTACGTTAGTATTGATATAAATGAATTTCTTAAGTGGATTTCAAATGCTGAAGGATTGAATTCTTCATCATACAAATCAACAATTAGTAGACTTAATCGTTATAATAATACTGCTAGTCAATTGGATCGATATAATTATAAGGTCAGTTCTCAAAATAGTTTGGGATATACGGCTGATAAATATGCTTCATATGAAACTACAGCAGTAGCTAGTGAGTTAAGTAATGATACGACGATTCATACAAGTAGTTTAGAAGAAACAAATGAATATCTGGAAAAATTAGCTAATAATATTTATAAGGATCCTAATCCAAGAATTATTCGACAAGCAACAACTGAAAAGCCAGTAACACTACAACAACGAGTTCTTGTTCGATATCTTCAACCACCAGCTGTTCCACCACCAGGAGTAATGAAACAAAATGTCTACAAATTCAATCTTATGAATATTTGTATGATTCTAGCCACTCATTATTAAAGAAGTGCGTCTACGACAACCGTCACCACCTTCACCACTTGTCATACACGAATATGCGCCACCTCTTCCCTCACCACCTCCACTTATCTTACGTGAACGGCCACCAACACCGCCGCCATATGTTCCTAGTGAGACAAGTTAGAAAAAAAAAGAAATTTGTATTAGATAAATAAAATTAATCAATCTTTTTTATTTTATAGTTATTCGTACCTTACCTGCTATACCTGTTCCACCAAGATCAGTTGTCATCGAACGTTTTCTACCTCCTCCAGAAAAACCACGTACACGAATTATCTTCATTTTTCTTTTTGTTGTTTTTCTTTTTATTTTTGATTGTTGCTTTTTCCCTCTTTAGGCGATATTATAATTGAACGATGGATTCCCTACGGACCTCAACCTGTACGCCGTACAATTATTGAACACGCTCCTCCTGGGATACAATATCCACAACCATCTGATACTATGATTATTTATTCTGCTGGGGAAACACTTAGGGCCCAAAAATTTGAAAAACTTGGTGTTACTCAAGAAGATCCTGCCATTTATGTAGCTCGTGATGAGCCATCGCTTTTAGAGCCAGCAACACTTGTTCAGCAAGCTCGCAACGGTGATGTTATTGGAGATATAGTAAACTTTTTTCAAAAACAAAATACCTTCAGAGAGAAAAATCTATATAAATCTTTTATTATAGTCGTCTCCGGTACTATCATCTTCAATATATGCAGCTACAGGTGGAAATACTGTTCATTTGGATCAATCAAATAAAATAATCAATCAAGGTTTTTCATTATCGCGTGGAACTCATAGTGAAGGAATTCAATTAGATGCTGATACCAACGGTATGAATCTTAGTAATACAAGGTATTCATTTTCAGCATCGACGTTTATTGGTGACAGTGCTTCAGCTGGTAGTGCTGGTGTAACTCGAAGTGAATTTAATGACGGAGATGCTAGTGTTACCACTACTCATTCTAACCGCGTTGGAAAATTAAATCAAACAAAATTTGAACAATATATTTAAAAGATAATTTAACTAAAATTCTTTCTTTTTCGATTTAAAGAACTGTTTTTTTTTGTATTTTTTACAATTGAACACATAATTTATAACAAAAGATCCTATAATAAAAGTAAAATAAAAATTGATCAAAGACTATTGGTACCAGTATTAGCTAAATCTCATTCTCTTGCAAACCATGTCGGTCTTATTTTTAAATGAGCTGTGGGCATGAATAAGAAGAGACAACATCCACACTGCACCCTATATTTCATTGTCATGTACTTGAACAACGTTTATCAAAGCCAAAGCGTCTACACGATTGGTGTAAAAAAATGCTTGATAGGGCAATTGTAGAACGTATTGCTATTGATTATAAGGTAAAAAAATATATATATATGAAATCTTTGTTAATTGAATATTCATCGAGTTTAAAAAAAGCGTTTCTTCTTGAATGAAGCTGTCAGAAGACATCGTAGAATGCTCGAAGAAGCTTCATTTTGTGTTGTGTTTCAAACAGAATGTGAAATTGCAGTGTCTATTTTTTGAATTAATTATTACATAAGAAAGTATCACGATAAATAGATAACTGTTTTTCATGATATTGAACTTTTGTCATTCGATTTCTTTGCATAAAAAGTAAGAATTTAGAAAAAAAATGACTCAACTTGACGATGATGTCTAAGATGGACTTTCAAATGAAAAATGCACAAAATGAGAGTTCACAAAAAATTAAAGCTTGTCAAATAAGCTATTTTCGACTTTTATTTATCTTCCAAAAACGTTTATGATTCAAAAAATATCGAGAAATCTTTCATGAATATGTTTATTCATGTCTTATTCAAATGTTATTATTTTAGGATATTATGAAAGATTGTTTGGATAATTAAGTACAAGTAGTTCTTGACATTCCATATTTCGATGGTAATTTTTGGTTGATTATTATTGAAGCACATATTGAAAGTATGTTTTATTATTGATAATAAAAATCGAATTTTATTTGATTATATTTTAGAACTCGACCAAGAAGATCGAAGAAAACAAGAGGTTGAAGCAGCACAAGCTATGGAAGATGAAGACTTAGATGATTCTATTGAGCCAGAAGATTCAGCAGAAATTAGTAGAAATTTAGTAGCCAAAATTAAAATTTAACTAAAGATAAATTTATATCATCATATGAGTAGAATAGAATGAAAATTGAGTTCAACCAACAATCACATTTTTGATTGTAAAAACAAGCGTATAGATTAAAATCATTTAGCAATATGAATGTTTTATTCTATCGGATGAATCTATCTCTCTAGTCGAATTTTAATAATTACTATTTGAATCTTAATTTTATCTACAATATGAATATTTGCTTTTCATTTTAATTTAGATTTCTGGTAAGTGTAAATCTGCAAATACATATGAAAAGAAAAATTTGAAGAAAACAGCAAATCAAACGTCAAATTGTACTGATTTATTATCTATAATATTTTCAACTATGGAAAAATACAAAGAGGTAAATTATAAAAAAAAAACAAATAAATTGTTAAAGGTGGATTTTGTTCATTCAAAATTTAATTTGAAAGTAATCAAAGATTTCTATTACTACTAATGAAGTGGCAACAAACAACAAACTTCGTAGGTAAGCTTGTCATACGAATTTGGAAGAGAAGATGAAGATCATCCATACCTCGATTTATGAGACAGTGCCTAGCGGTAAATATGTTAGCTCAATCTCTTACTTCATACTAACTGTAGCTCTGAGCAGAAGATCGTCCAGATAGAAGAATTCTTCAGCTTCCTATATATGTTAACTAACTATAACTATTTTCTTCCCTTCCCCTCTCCCTCCTCCCAAAAAAGGATTAAACTGACTTTAATTGCTCTCTCTTTTCCACAAATTTTAATACTTACAACTTGCATCTATATATTTTTTTAGGCATTCTTTGCTATTCATCGTCATAATCAAATAATATCCTATCTAGCAGTCAATAATACTGATGCTCTAATTCAATGTGATTTAATGGATATGCGAAATGCATTTCTAAATTTTGCTTATGATAATAATTATGAATTTTCTTCATTAGGTCGTGCAAAATTTTCAACCATGACTTTATTATATGAATTATATACATCAACAACAGAGAAATTTACATATAATTGTATTAGATGCCAATAGCAATGTCATATTTCTTATGATTGTACAGTATGTGAAGATTTTGATCTATGTGAAAAATTTTATAATATGCAACTAAAATATGAACATAAAATAGAACATTCGGTATCGTCAAGAGTTATCATGAACAAAATTTATTAAATAGTAATCATAAATCTATAGCAAGTACACAATTATAACAATAACAATCAATGCAACGTTGTATTGAAGGTTTGTTACATGCACTTAATTGTCATACAGTTAACTGTATTAATTGTAGTTGTTTTCGTTATAAACGTATTATACAACATATAAAAAATTATAAAGAAAAAAATTGTCAATGTAATGTATGCAAAGAAGTTATTTTTCTTTGTTGATACCATGCTAACAGTAGTATAGATCAAAATTGTCAAGCGAGTCCGAACATCTCTTTCATTTGACTAATTGGTTGACGTAAATTCATTCATTATAATAGATTTTTGTCGTTGTCAAAGGTATATAATTACGTACAAGGAATATAGGATATCGTGGAGTAGTTTCTTCTCTATCGATTGATATGATTCGATTTTAGCAGGGATGAAACCAGATCGAAAAGTCATAGTTTTTCATCGATTAATATATTGAGTGAAAACCATTAGATCATCAAAGTATTAGAGAATACTGGTGGCATATCGACAAGGTGTGGGTGTGAGTATGGGTGTCATTCCTCTCTGTACTCACACCCAATACAACCAAGTACATGGCTCAGTATTACGATCGTAAATCTCCATATCGTATACGGAGTAATACGGCGATATACGGAGAAATATATGGCCGTTCACCATTTTCGTATACGCAGTCCGTATACGGTGATCGTTTTACTTCGTATTTTTTCGTAGACGATCGTATTGCAGCGTATACGGTCACGACGATATACGATCGTAATACTGAGCCATGTATTATGGTAAAATACGACCGTAAACGATCGTATCGAGGTCGTATACGGTCGTTTACAGTCGTATACAAAGTCCGTAACCGTCGACCTGGGATTTCTCAAACACAACGTTTAAAATTTTCGTCATTTTAATATGAGAAAGTAAATATTTATCGTTATTTGATTAAATTAGATAAGAAAAGATCAATATTATTATAAAATCATATAGAATGAGAGCAAAAACAGATGGAAAATAAGTTTTTATTGAAACCTATAAAATGTAAAAGCACTTGAAGAATAGATGCCCTTTATTGAGAGAAAAAAAAATATTAAAATGAAATATTTAAGAGCTGTTCTGGTCCTCTGTTTAATTGGCTATGTTAGCTCAACTGTATCTGTTCAAGATTATGTTGACACAATGTTATCCAATATAAATAATAAAAAAGAAGTTATTGAAAATAATCCAGCACTAGTCCATCATATTTATCAATATTTTCAAGCAGTCTATCCTCGTCCAGATACAAGCAGAATGATTGACTTTCAAAAATCCAAACGTATGGAAATATTTAAATCAAATTTACTATATGTTATGCGACATAATGAAGATTCTTCAACAACATTTAAATTAAAAATAAATCAAATGAGTGATTGGACTGATGAAGAAAGAGATGCATTACGTTAAGACTTAGAAGTTGAAACACCTAATAGTCAACAACCAACAGAATCACGTGATGACACAATGGTTCCACCGGAATATGATTGGACTAATCAAACGCGTGTTCCAGGCGCTGTTACACCTATCAAAGATCAACGTCGTTGTGGTTCATGCTATGCTTTTGGTATGGTTGGAGCCTTGGAAAAAACATATGCAGAAATTTATAAAGAATCTGGTCCACTAAGTCCGCAACAATTAATTGATTGTTCAGGTCAACATGGTTGTGAAGGAGGAGGTTTTATTGGATCATTTCGTTATATTCAAAGAAATGATTATAGACTTAATTTGCAAAAAAAATTATCCATCAACAGCCGATGGAAAAAAACAAGAGAAATGTCAAAATGAAAGTGGAGTACGTCTTTCGTATAATTCAACTCGTCAACTTCGATATGAACTGATACCATTTGGAAATGAAGAATATATGAAAAAAATTGTTTATGAACGAGGTCCAGTCTTTGTTTCTTTCAATTGTGGCGTACGCAAAGGTAATAATACTATTCTACGAGAAGTATCAGATAAATTTGATCATTATGCATCTGGTATTTTTGATGTACCTGGGATGTCCAACATTTCAAAATCTCAATCATGCGCCTGTTGTTGTTGGCTATGGAACTGAAAATGGTACTGATTATTGGAAAGTTAAAAATTCATGGGGACCAAATTGGGGTGATCATGGTTATATCAAAATTAGACGAAATAAGAACATGTGTGGAATTGCTACTTTGACTTATTCTGCTGGAATCTTTTGAAAATTTTTTTGGCATCAATAAATTTAAATTAGTTAGAGAAAAAATTTAATTGAATAAGAGTTTTTTTCCTAACCCATATGATTAGAGGCATAAGTCGATGAGTTGAGCGGTGGCGGCTGATTCGATACTGTGAGTTCTTCGACGGTGGTGGCTTTTAAAACACAATATTTGGTTCTACCAAGGATGGCGACGGCTCAAGATTTTTCATGACCTTTTGTTTTCTTGTTTTCGAGAGATTTTGAAATGAAAAAAGGTAGAAAATGCTAATAGAGATGTGACTAGTATAAAACTAGAGAGGCCAGTTTAAAAGGAAAAGGAATATGACGTTAGTCTAAAATCAGATTATCCAATTTTTGACCGATTTTAATCACGCCTACCGTAAAATGTGTTTTCTCGAGTTTTTATTTAGAAACTCAAAATTTTGAATAGTCTCTCCGACTTCTCGACTCAGCAAATGGTAAATGCAACGCTAGAACTCTTTGACACACATGCCATACTGCGGACTAGTATACCACACAATACTTATATAAAAGTACATTAAAATCTTTCTAAATCACAAAAAGCCGATAAAAAGCAGATTTTCTCGCTTTTTTTGGTCAGAACATTCACGAAAACTAATCTTGAATGTCTAAAATATGCAAAACCAGAGTATGGTTTTTGTGCAACGGCGGCCGAGATTTTTTCCAAAAAATCGGTGGCGGCGGCGGTTCAGCCACTCGACTTTCATCTCTACATACGATGGCCTTCATATGTGTTGACGACAGATATCTATCCATAAATACGAAATCAAACAAGTAACTGTTAGAGAGTTGCATGTCCTTCTTGACTCCGAGTCAAACTTTTAGTTTTTGTCGGATCTGGAACCATGTCCAAATTTCACTGAAGGCACAGTTTTCATTCAACTTCGAGTTCGAATAGAGAAGATCCAAAGTCATTCTAGTGACGAGTTGTGGCTCTTTACGGAGTTGAATTGGAATCTGTTAGCATTTGTGCTCGTAAAGACTGAAGAACACTACATGTTCGAAATACGTGGGTATAGGTGTGTTATATTATGTTTAAGAAATACTGCGACTATAGTTTCGAGCTTTCTCAAGGATCAATCCTCAGATAGTTTTTGAGTATAAACAAGAAAAATGAGTGAGAAGAAGCAGTAAACATATAACTTACAGAGAAGGTTTTTGAATAGTTTCCATATTGTATATTGTTTTCTTGATGGTTTTTAGTAACATAGAATTTCGACTCATGCTTCATAGTTGATGGCCGTATGGGACACGTTTTTTGATTTGGAAAAATTGATTCTACGCGTTTCGATTGAAATTAAGATGGAAGAGTTATAAGTCGTTGATGCACTCATGTTAAATTCGTTGTACGGAAATATTGCGTTTATATCATGTTAGTAATTGGCAGGTGAACGTTCATCTAAAAAGGCAAAGAAGAAAATTAAGTGTGTTTGTTTGTTTTGAGAAAAGTGTAGGATGTCCAGATGAAGACGTATGTTTATTTATCAAAAGTAATAATTGGGTAACAGACGTATTGAATGGATGGAAAAAGACAGAAAAGAAAAATGTCGAAAGGGAAAAATATCGAAAATAAAAATGTCGAAAACAAGAATATGAGATGAAGATGAACATATAAGATTGAAGATGAGGGTGAGGGAGATTTGTACTTCAATATACTCTCGTTTTCGGCATTTCTATCTATCTACATTTGTATTATTTTTATTTTCGATATTTTTATTTTCGACATTTTTCCCTTTCGATATTTTTCTTTTCTGCCTTTTTCCATCATACCGACGTATTAAAATCGAACGGTTAGTCTAGTTTTGATTGAGTTAGCGATATAAAAATTCGACATGTACAGATTGCTGCAACTGATATAGGTTGTCATTGTTATGCTGCTTTTGTTGCTTTTCTTGTTGTTTTTCGATGGTATGTATGTCTTACTGACAATCTCTACATCTGAATATAGTTAATTAATAACATAACTAGAGTCAGAACATGTTCGAACACGTATGTTCGATGATTAAATGTAGTCTATGTTTTACATGACCATTCATAATGCATTATTCGTTATGCCAACAGCCAGTTATTTCCTTATCTGGTTAAAGGGTAGACCAGAAGTATTGACTTGATTTGTATAATAAGTTTTTCTTTAGCAAAATGCGTGGTTGAAAATGTGTTTCTATGAAGAAAAGATGCAGTAAAAGACGCTCGACAAAATGACTATTGATGGATCCGGCTAGCTCGTCTAGTAAGAAAGTTACAGACTTAGAAATGTGCTTTAAAAAAAAGAAAAATTAACCGTGAATTCAATCTCGATACTTGTACTTTAACTACTGTTCCTTAGGTCCCCTAGAACAATTTTTTTTATCAATAGAGGCGTCATGAAATTCTTGATGGTGGATGTGGGTATGTCGACGTTTGTCTTCTTTTAATCAATACTTACATCCATACCCACACCCCAAACTAACATTCTTTTTAAAAGAAGAGAAAATTTATTGCTTTGATTATCATACGACTTTTATGTAATCATTTTGAGCTAAATAGAATTTTAGAAAAATGATAAGAGAATCAATTTTCGACTAAAAAGAATTTCGTCCTCAAAACGTTAATTTGTGTTTAATAAAATAAAAATTTTTTTTCGGTTCGGTTCGATTCGGTTTAGCGCTACGCAAATTTCTTTCGGTTCTGGTTCCATTCACAATTTAAAAGCTCGAACCGACCTCATCTCTGGTACATATCTCCGATCACTTTCACCGCCTTGCCGTTCGACTATCATATGATTAATATCAAAAAGAAGAGAAAAAGAAATTTAAAAAGAAAAATCTATACACTCCTGTACAAGGTCCGAAGAAAACAACTTTGATTGTCGAAATGACACGTCATTATTGTATTGAAATCATTAATACTTATAGATGATAATAAATTGAAATCAATATTTTTAATTTAATTTTAATTGTTGAATAAAGATATACAAAAAACACTAGATGGTATTCGAGCTTTGACTCGAATACGAAATGCGGTGCGAAGCATGAAACTCTAGAATTTTCGAAAAAACCACATTTCGTAGAAGCGAAAATCTGATTGTCGAGTTAATAGTAATCGTCATTTCTCGTTGGAATGTCACACACTACAGAACATAGATACTTCACTGTATATCATTCGAATTCAAAGAATTATTTTTTCATGAGTCAGCTGATATTAATCGCGAGAAAATTGAAAACCATCATAATAAAATTCATTACCACGAGAACTCTATGAAAGCCTATGAATACTTTTATGAACGACAATTTCGATTGATCGTTTAATTATCCTTGCGATCACTTTATTATCAGCTGACTTACAGCTGTAATGAATTACTTCAATAGCTCGAAAAGACTTGCGGCTAACTTTTCTTGCTATCGTCATTTTAATTATCTCGAGTATAAAATTTTTCAAATTCCTCTTTTTCCTAAATTATTTCTAATCCAACCGCTTATCTTAATGAAGTATGGAAAACGAATTTCTACGATTTGTTCTCGATTCTTTCATTTCACGTTTCAACGGACTTTTTCTGATTTTTCGTTCTTGAGATCAGCGCGACACAAAATGACTATTTTTGATGCGTACGTCAAGTAAGTAAGAAAAAAACTCGCGAAGGACTACATAAATGCTGTGCTTCGCACCGCATTAATAAATACACATAAGGAAGACTAAAAACATGCAATAAATTGAAGGTACAATTTTCAATCAAAAAAACAACGTATGTTTTGACGATATGCTCATGATGATTTTACGCATATGATGATGCACATTTTTTTCTGTATTAGTATCGTAGAGCTGTACGAAGGACTAATGAGAGAATAAGCAAAAAAATGGTAAAATTTGCACCGAAAAAAAATCAAGGTATGTATTCAAATTACTCTTATCATTTTTTCGCGATATGGTTGAATGCGCGAAGCAATACATATTTTTCAACGTATAGATAAGCAACATTATATTTTAGTTTGAAGCACACAATAACGTCGACACATTATAGTGACATTATTGTCCTGGACAGACAAGATTCTCTACGAATCCAACTAGCAAATGTATGTATCTGCGAAACTCTAATCTCTTTAGGAAATCTTTTTAGTAATAAGTATAGAAGGGATTTTTCTATCCTCAAGTAGTGGTAATAGCAAAGTATAGTATTATTTTTCTACCATGGCAGTTAACTTCCTTTTAGTCAATTTGAATCTAGAGGAATGAAGATCTCGAGTTCAAATAGGAATGTGTAGCTAGGGGAAGGGAGCCTCATAATTATTCACTCATATTTAAATGTATAAAAGTCCCTTTTTTTAGATAGGGGGATTGGATGGTATAGGGGTTTTGACATTTATATTTATTTATATATATAAGACACCGGAGAAGCAAAATTAAAGCAGCTAATCATATTTATGTATATGGTTAGGCAGAGAGGGACGAGTGGATCAAGAATATTTATGTTTTTTTCTGAAATTAGTTTTTACGGCAATAATTTAGGCTTTTGTCGATGACTTACTTGTTATGAAAAAAGTCAATTAACGATAACTGGAAAATTGCCAGTTGTTTTTCGTTCCTTTGAATTTCAAAAATACTTGTGTCAGATTTAGTGTGAAAAATCGAATCTATGAAAGTCATTTATGAGGCTGTTCAGATGTAATATGATCATTATTCAGGTACCACAAAGATGGAGGGTCCAAATTTCGCACGAGCATTTTTGTAATGGGATAATTCTTTCGAAAAAGTACCGCATTTACATCGAATTTCTGTAAAATGCAATGATTCTTCCAGCACTGGTAGCACTTGGACCTGTAAGCATAGCGGTAGGTTCAAAAAACTTGAAAATCTTGTAAAAGGTCCGAATA